CCTGCGGGCCCAGAGCTGGGTGGGATCGCAGACCCTGACTTCCGCCGCCGCCCCGCTCCACCTCAGGGCGCCCGAGGGAGGCCGGGCCTGGGGGGGCCCGAAGAGAGGCGCTAAGCGTAGGTCGGCCGGCACCGGGGGTCGCCGGCGGCACTCCGGGGAAAGCCTGGTCATGCAGACTTCCGACTCCGAGTCATTGGATGAGATCGATATCACGCAGCTGATGAGCTTGACCATTTCCCGCAAAGGCCTGGCCACACCCAGGAGCCCCGAGGGTCCCGGGGACGCCCCCAGGCACCCGAGTACCCACGTCAAGAAGGGCTCCCTTCACATGCCGGGCCCTTTCCTGTCCTCCAGTCCCCGAGGACTCACCTCGGCTGTTGGAGAGGAGGAAGCCTCTTCCTCCAAGAAAACGCCAAGTGTGGTCTGGGGGAAGGTGGAGAGCAGCAGGCTCAGCTACCTGGCAGCGGCTGCCGCCGCCCCAGGTGGGCTGCCCACGCCCACGCCCTGGAAGAAGGCGCCCCAGGAGAAGAGATCCCTAGGACGGGGCTCAAACCTTGCCTTGGGAAGAAGCTTTCCCTCCTGGGGGCAGAGAGTCCCGGCACCTCCTCCCGCGGAGCCAGTCACCTTCGCTACGATCTCTGCTTCCCCGCTGCTGGCGAGGAGCAAGAAGTCCTCCTGGGTCCCTTTGGGGATCAAGCAGTCCAAGTCCCCCAGCGCTGGGAAGAAGTCTGTGGCCAGGAGGACCAGAGAGTCCGAGCCGATGGCCGAAGAAGATAACGGCGGGAAGGGCGATCGAGTCCCAAAGGGCCAGGTGAGTATCAGGCCCCGTGCTCCCTCCGTCCAACCCTCGGGTTGCCCGCGGTCGGGCGCACTCCGTCTTTGGGGTGCCAGGTTGGCGTGGTCTCAGCAGGCGCAAACCTTAAGTGAGCCCTCCATGTGTGTGTGGCGTGCAGTGCCGTGCCCGGCAACATTCTGCACACCTGGCATGTTTCCTGCCTCCTCCACCAGAGAGGGGTGAGGGGTGGGCGGTGCCAGGTCTGAAAAGCTTGGGTGTCTAGACCTCTGGGTCTCCTGATTCCTACTTCCTACCTGCTCCCCAAGCCTTCCTTCCTGGCAGGGGGCCTGGGCTCTCTCGGTGCCCCACTGTTGCCCCTAGCTCAGCTCTGCCCCCTGGCCCAGGGCTGACCGAGGAAGAAAATGCTGGTGAGGTCAGCCTCTGAATTCCCTTCCTATTCCCTGCCTCACCCAAGCCCCTAAATCCACGTGCCCACATCCCGAGGCCAAATCCAGGAGAACTTTTTGTTTTAGCCTCCTGCACACAAGCCAGGGCCGCCTTCTCTGTGCATGTATCACGGAGAGTTCAGCAGTGGCGACTTCAACACTGGAAGCCCCCCAGTTCCAAGACGCTCGCAGCTCTTGGCCCTGAGTCAGGGGGACGTCCTGCCCAGAGGAGGGCCCACAGCCTCGGGTGAGTCCTGTGGGTTTGCTAGGAATGGAGGGGAGAGGGGTTGAGGAGGGGAGCTCTGGCCCGGCGGGCTCTGCTCGGGGCTCAGCCTTGCTCCCAGCCGCCGGAGACAGCTTCTTCCACAGGAAACGGGGTGTCGACAGGGCGGGCCTCAGGTCACCTCATCCTCTGCATGGGGTTTGTGCACAGGGGCGACGCGTGGCACAGCCCCAAACTGCACCTCCACACAGAGAGTTCCAGCAGATTGGGGCCCTTTCTGATAAGCCGTCTTCGGCCACAGGGCTTGTCCCAGAGGCTACCTGTGGCTTGCAGCTCTGCCAGCACCCAACCCAGAGCCACGCACCGTCTTGGGGACCACAGCCATAGATGGCCTGGCCCTGGGGAGCAGCGGAGGCAGTCCCAGAGAGAAGGGGGAGCTGCTGGGCAGAGCAGGGCAACTGGTTGCCAGCAGAGGGTGGTGCTGCCTCACGTCAGGCCCCGTCAGGCCCCCCTGAGCCCGGGCCACCTCCCTGGGCACTTTGGAAGCTGGATGTTGTGTTCTCCCCCTCTCAGGTGACCAGGAACTACTTGACCGTCCCTCAAGACTGAAAAGGCAGCGGCGGCAGCAGCCGCCACCTGGAGCAGAGGGTTGTCCCCAGGTAACGCTTCCTCTGGCTCCTACACGTGCAGGCCCAAGCTAGACGATGGGATCCGTGTCAGGGTTACACACCGACGTGTGTGTCCGCCCCCACCCCGCAGCCTGCACCTTGTGCAGGGCGCACAGCTCCTTTCCACGGAGGAGCCGGTGCCAGTCTAGCCCCAGGGGTGGGGGTGGGGTCATCGCGGAGAGAGGAGGCCCAAGTATACTAATCATTTCTCCTTCTGCGGTGTCTGCTGGCCCAGTGCCCCGTGCTACAGAGAGAAGTCGACGAACTTAAAGAGCAGCTTGGTATGAGGGGCCTCGGGCTGGGGCAGAGCACAGGGTCTTAGTGCAGAGCCAGGGGCGCGGGCTGCAGGCACAGGCGGCCTCACAGGGACCCACATTCCCTGGAGCCTGCAGCCTGCAGCCTGCTGGGCACGTGCAGCTAGGGGTGTGTGCAAAGAGCAGCGCGTTGTCTGAAGTGCAAGCACACTTTGCCAGCGAGAACCAGTCCTGGAGATGTGCTTCTCTTGGGATGGTTAGAGGTGCCTCATTGAATTTCCCTTTAACTGCTGCTTGGCATGGCTTCCGCGGGACTCGTTGGTTTGTTTATGTGACAAGTTCCACATGGTCCTCATGTGCCCCAAAGCTTGAGAACTACTGGCACAGTTTGTCCCCTTTGGACAATATTGCCATGTTTAATTCAGGTGGTGGGTGAGGGAGTCGGGCCCAGGCCTCCTTGGGTAGGGGCTGGAGGGGTTTCAGGTTGCAGGGCTAGGCAGTTGCCCACAGGGACGGGGACGGGCTTCTCTGTGCCCGCACCGGGAGTGCCCACTTATGCCCCTCCGTGTTTCAGCGGCCATGCAGTCCCTGACTGACAAGTTCTTCAGCCTCTGAAGTTGAAGTGAGTGTTACACACCCCACCCCACCCCCTTCCCACGGTAGTGGCATGGCGTGGGGTGGCGGTGTGTAGGAGTGCTGTGGGCTGGCCCTGGCTGGAGGCTCTTTTCCCTGACTCTGCTCTGTCTGACAGGTTGAGCCCGGCATGCATCTTCCGACAAGAGGAGCAGCTGTTCCCCCTTGGAGCCAGCAGGCTGCGGCCAAGCTGGTCCCCTCCTGTTCTACGTCAGCCGGGGCTTCCTCTCCCCCTTCTGTGGCCTCCTCCCCACCCCAGTTCACAGCAGTTTCAAATTAAAGTACCGTATTTGCCGGCGTATAAGACGATTTTTTGGCCCTGAAAAATATGCCTCCAAGTGGGGGGTCGTCTTATACGCCAGGTACACTTCAGATA